TGGCCTTCTACTACTGATTGGACTGACAAACTTTATATTTATAAGTGAAAGTTTCATGAGGTGGAATACCACATTGAGTTTGACCAGGAACACCATCAAACCAAGGAGTACCACGTTGAAAGATTCCATGAGAATGAATAGTAGTATCTTCATCTAATTCATTTTTTACATTGAGAACTATGGTATCATCTCTATTAGCTTCAATAAGAGGACCAGGGAATTGGCCATTTATGAGATATATATCGCGCTTAAAGCCATCAGGAGAACGAGAACCTTTAGTGATAGTAAGATTATAAACTCTTTCTTGGTTCCTTTAGTTCTTTTGTCAAGAGTTGGGGAAGATAGAGATTGATTCGGAAGTAATAAGAGGAAGGTTAAAATATAGACCAGAGCCAAAATTCTTTGGGAAACCATTTTTTTTGTGCTCAAACTTAATCATCAAAAAGTTCGAGACAAGAAGACCGAAAGAATTAATGAGGTATATTTATATAAGAAATGGCTATACCTTGCCGCCACGAGTGTCACAAGTAAATAATGATTTATAAAGCCATCTTTGTCTTGCAATAACAAGTAGGAATATGCGCAAAGTTATTTATTAAAGTTAAATAAAATTTATCTATTGAATTATATTAGGCAATAGAAAAAACAATGTAAAAAAAAATATAATTCTAAGAATATTTCCAACGAAGAATGTTTACGACGGTACAAATGCAACGTAAATACGTGTATATCAGAATGTATGTTCGTACGTACGTACGTACGTTTTTTGTTAACGAAAAACGATAGTAATAGTATATATTTGTACGTAATAAGTTTTCATATTTTAAACCATACCATTTACGTTTTTCTAGAATTCTAAGTAACACATGCAGCATATATCTATATACATACAAAACTGATTACGTAATTTCATATTGGGATAAAGAACTCCGCGCAATTTTAAATTTATTACCGGAAAAATTTATGATGATATTTGCAAAAATTTATCAAACATATCAATTTATTTAAAATGAAAGAACAATTGGTCCAATATTAGAATTAAAGAGGATAAAAGATTTGATGATAACTAATGCTATACATTATATACTGTACATTACATTATATACATTATGATTGCGATTTTAATACTATTGTAAATTTTTAATACCTATTCTAAATTTTCAATACTATTGTAAATTTTTAATGCTATTCTAAATTTTTAAAATTTTTAATACTATTCTAAATTTATTGTTATACGTTGTTATAATGTACAATACGTACATAATATACATTATTATTGCAACTTATTTAGCATGAGAGAGAGCAATTCTTCAAAATCTATTAGTACGAATGTAAATGCGTAAATATTCATCTGAAATCATGTATCTAAGGAAGACCTTGAGACCTTAATAAAGAGACAGGATAACGAGATGTCTTATTATCCGTTAACAATCGCTAAATTGTGCATGTATCCACACGGATGGTAACAACACATATATTTTATATTTGATCGGATTAACTATATCAATTTTTATATCAGTATTTTTAAATGACGGGTTAGAATAAGCACATAAATACACAATTTCTTGTGTGAATCAATAATTTATTAGAGACTTTTGTTTTGTATTCTCTGTCAAGATACATGTGATCAAAATAACTTTTGCGTGTCAAATTAAAGATATCAAATTAAAGAAATAATTAGAACAATTTCTTATAATTATACTTTATTCCACGTTTTCTAAATATACTCCTTTATAATACATGCTTATGGCAGTTCTCAGTAAGCATATATAAAAGTTTAATTCTAATTAATTTGATATCAAATATGATCATATTTGTTATACGCATTCTTACGTAGCTAAACAAATAATATTACATAGATATATTGATGGTATTGGTAAGGGTTAGGGTCCTATAGCTTAGGGTCTAAGCACCTACCCCACAGCCAAGGTCTTCGATTCGAATCCTACTAGAAGCAGTTTCTAGGAAAAATCCAAATGCAAAACCCTGTGGAAGTCCAAGTGAAGTACATACAAGTTTAGTTTAGCATACTGATAATAGGGTTAGATATATCAGGTAGGGATATGCTGTATATAATAGTTATCACATAATCTGTAATTATACTATATCATTAATAAAGATTTACCCTTAAAAAAAAAATAATAATAATAAATAAAAAATTGATAGTATTGCTATGAAATGTTTAAGTCTACGAATATTATTAACAACAACTTGTTTATCTTTATGGTGAAATTAATGGTAATAATATTAGTTTTGTTTGTTTTACATACGCACGTACGTACAGTACATATGTTCCAATTATACGATAAACATAATCTACATAGTTTATATCATGCTTAAACGAAAAGGCAGATCATAATAAAATCAGGAAATAAGTTTAAATTGAAAATTAGTTTCCTTTTTAAGCCTCTAAAATCCAATTAAATAATTCTTCAACGTTAAATGCTAAATAATTATTAAGTTAAACACTGAATATTAATCAAACTCTAAAAAATACACCCCAAAAATTTTTTGACACGACGCTAAATTTCAATTAAGTAGCCTGCATATATAGAACGCAGGCTTATTTACGTCATTAGCTACGGCTCAATTGCGTTCTATTTTATAAACCGATTTTTTATATAGGATGTCATAAGTCTGCATCTAAACCTGCATAGTATTTATCAGCACACAACGTCATCCTATAAATCATTAATGCAATTAGTATCCATCTTATATAATAGGAAAAATGATTACTGCTAAATTTATGATGTCTGAAAGGGGTTCACTTCGCATTGAAAAGCTAACTGTAGAAATATGTAAAACTTTACAAAACGATAATAATTAAAATAAAAAATAAAAAAATAAGGAATAAATAATGTGACGGCTGATGCTGAAGATTGGCTGTTGTTGAA